CACACTTGGAAAGCTGGATTCCGGGGGGTGTTGCCTGCAGGAGGCGGTGGGGGCAGTGAGGCTGGCTGTGGGTGCTCCCTGGGTGCTGGCGGCCAGGCAAGGCGCCCTCACAGGAGGGCAGCCGGAGGAGAGGGCACACTCCGGGGTGAGGTGTGGCCGTCCCAGGCCCCTCCCTGCCTGCCGCGCAGCGAGTGATCCCGCCCTCGCTTGTCCACGTCCCCACGTGGCTTAGTCACCAGGCGCTAGAAGTCCCGCCCCTCATTCTAGTGTGAACTGCCCCCTGCGCCCGAGAACCTGTAAGGCCCTCCACCTCCACACGCCTCTGCCTGCGGACCGGCCTGTGGCCGCGGCTGCCGGGTCTCCCGACGGCGCCCTCTGTGCTGTCCTGTCCCTGCGAGCCAGGGGGGTGGTGGGGTGAGCGTCAGCCTGGGCGCGGTTTTCAGGGACACCGTCCATCTCAGCGGAGCGTGAGGTGGTTCTGGACGGGGCCTCTGGGGAGCTGCTCTGCCCGGGGTCCCTGCAGGGGCGGTGCTGTGCCCTCAGGTGCGGAGGGTCCTGGACAGTAACCCCGCCCTCCTAGGCCCTACTTCGAAGGCCTGTCGCACTCCAGCTCACAGACGGAGGTCGGGAGCGTCCACAGCGCCCGAAGCCAGAAGGAGCCTCCCAGCCCGGTAAGTGCTGGGCGAGTGCTGGGCTGCGGCGGGGGGGCCGTCGTGGTCGCCGCTGGGTCACTTACACACCGAAGCTGGAACCACGTGCTGGCTCTCGTGTGGCCCAGCTCCTTGCCGGCCAGGTGGCTGCCCTGAGCCCACACCCACGAAATCCCAGCCTGTCTCCCGGCCCCACCGGTTCCCTCTCGCTCACAGGCCGACGTGCCCGAGAAGACGTGGGCCCCGGGGGGCAAGCAGCCCAGCGACAGCGTCTCAGAGCCAGTGGCCCACGTAAGCAGACACAGTTCACCCGTGGCTGGAGCACAGACCACAGCCCTTTGCTCAGGCCGCCAGGGCCTCTGTGGACAGGGTGTGCCCGCCTGGCTGTGGGCCGCCCGGAGCACTGTGATGGCTCCGCTGCCCTCGGGGTTCTCAGGAGGGTC